TTGCGGTACAAGTTATGTGTATGTACGGAGGTAGTGGGTGAGTGGCCGGCTTCTCGTCGGTCAATGCCAGTCTACTGCCCAATCTCAAGTGGTAATCCGAAGGCTCGTTTGTCCCAAGCACCTGCTTCGCTCTGTGACAGTCATCTAGTGCGTCAATTGATTCTCCATGTATCCCAGACACTAGTAGTTATGCGCTCGGTTCTGTTTGGAGATCTCTGAGTGTTCGCATGTTCATCTCAGATAGCCTGAGATGTTTTGTACAATATTTGCCTCAGATCCTATTTCATCTCTCGTTTCTGTTTGGAGACCTCGTTTGCATGCGCATCTCACAGATAACCTTAGATGTCTTGTATAATATTTGCCTCAGATCCCATTTCATCTGCTCTCTAACCAACAAGTATCCGTGCAGCATGGTGTGATGTTAGCTCGGGGGTTGTTTATTGAATGTTTGATCACAATTTGAACGGCGAAGGAGACCACCGTATTACTTTGTTTCAGCTGAGACAGGGAATCTTAGAGATTACCTCAAGTGGAAGTCCTTTCACCGGAGTTTTGTACATATGGAATATACATCTTTACCAATCAGGCGATTGCATGAATGATACTCTCAAGGCTACTCATACGATCCACATAAACCTTCTGAAGCATCTCCTATTCCCAATTGAACATGTGTGGGTATACGTGCATCTCCTATTACCAATTGAACATGTGTGTGTATACGTGTACGGGTGCAGGTTTCTCGTGGGCCTTCGTGACACTGGCTTTCGAGACACGTCGCATCAATTACATGTTCATCATGAACCTCAACCCCAAGAGCGTCATCCGCTTGCACGAGATCCTGACGTCGGGCTTCTTCCTGGTGGCTATATGGCTCAGTTCTGCGTACCTGTAAGGCCGGCCAAACTTGAAAGACGCGCAGTGTGTGTGTGCACATCCCTAGAATATGAGATACGGATAGACTTCTTGTTATGTAGTCGTGCGTGTACCTACTTGATTTGTGGTAATCATCGAAATGTATTCCTTGGCCTGGGCCCCAACGGTTTGCCAGTCGTGTCGCGTGTGATGAGCGTTTCTGACTTGCATGTTGCATACATGCTTGCGTGCATATGAGTTTGTGCAAAGTAAGTTTGCAATAGACTAGTAATATATATGCGTATGATGACACTAGATGTACTATTTTTGGGTTATGGCTCATTCTAAAAAACTTTCATGTATGTGTTTGTGCATGTTTGAGTTATTCAAATTTATACATGTACGTATATTGATAAGCAATTATAGAAAAAGGTTCTCTTATATTTATGTTGTCTACATGAATGGGCAAACACACACACACACACACAACACACACACACACGACACAC